TCATTGATGCCTCCATTTTGTAATATGACTCAAAAAGGGGATCGCAAATAAAAAATTGTGTGCCTCCGCACATACAGTCGACTTTGCGTTTAAACATGACATTTCTGCTCCACGGGTTTTCAGGGTTATCGTTTCTGCTCCAAAAGTTCCATGATCCCTAGATTGCTAAAACAAGGGTGCTGTCCACGTCGCGTGCATGGGCAGAGCCTAGGCCAGCCGTTCTGTATTCGTTAACACTAGAGAATAGAGGTCATCTACCAAGAAGGGTAGAACTGACTCTGCACGTACGATAAGCGCGGACCATTACCATTAACGAGCACCTACGCCTATTTTTCCTCCTCCATTACCCACACCTATGCTAACGTGGAAAGTGCGTGCGCTACGATCTAGTTCTATGGAAGTAGTTCAGAAGTAAACGACTCAGTCACAAATAGCTCTTCTCATGGCTTAACCTCGCTTTACGCTGGTCAGCATCCGACTCCTTTTCTGGTTTGTCGTCATCGGCGAGGACGTGAAAAAACACCTGCAATGAACAAACAGTAGGGAATCGTACCCATAGAATCAAGGCCATCAGAAAATTTTGAAAAATAAAAAAAACGACGAGCGCTGCGTCCGGCGATAGCAAATGAGGTTCTAGTTGAAGTTCAATGACTGCGCTGGGTCGGATGACTGGCTGATTGCGTATTATGGCCTTCACATGATAAGCCAACTCTATCTTCACTAGGTACGTAGCATAGGGTTCTGAGGTGGCGAGATGAAATCTCGCTTGCGGTGGCGCGCTGGAACGTGCATGGGAACAGAGGCTAGAGGGTAGTGATATCCGTTGCCGTCTCTACAATCCGCCCTCAATGTGCAGCACCTCCGATACCATGAAGTAGAAAACAACCAGAAGTGAAGGGGAGCAGATACGTAGCGCGTTTGGCTATGTTTAGGCATGTGGCCGGCTGTGCGGAGTATGGAGAAGTCACTCAGGTGTCGTCCCCCTCCATCCCCATTCCAGCTCACTAGAAAGTGGCACGCTATTGCAGCTGCGGACTCTCTCACCCCACAAATGGCAAGAACCAGGACCCACGGAGGCGAATATACAGTTTGCCGGAGCAGTTCGGCGACGGGTGGGGCATTTGTACTTTTGTTGCTTCACTAGTTTCGGTTTACAAGTCTCACTCTGGTGAAACCTGTGAACTCTTGTGAAGCTGGAGCAAGGTCGTCAAGCCATCATGGTAAAACCTGTCAACTCGAGAAGAGGCTGTCTAGATAGGTCGACACGTCGATGGGAAGTACAAAAGTGCAAAATGCCCCCCGTCGCCGAACTGCGCCCAGTTTGCCTTCAACGTCCACCCTGTAATCGAATTGAACAGGATACATCTACACTAACTTCAGCAATCGCCTGTTTGATCAGAGGTAAT